AAAATTGTGGTCCAAAATCCTTTAGATTAAAACTATTAACTGAAACTCATGAAAAATTCGGACACCCAGGTATTCATGCTATGTTAAATTTAATCACCCCACAATATTATTGGCCCTACATTAGTAAAGATATTGGAAATTTCGTGAAACATTGCCATGCTTGTCAAATTAATAAAAAAAATTGGACTTATGCAAGAAGTACCCCCAACTGATAAACATTTTGAATGTCTTTCTATTGATACAGTCGGCAGTTTTAATTATTATAATTCTACAAAAAAATATTTACATCTTGTGATGATCATGCCACAAGATATCGCTTTTCATCTAAAATCATTTGAACACATCGGTTGTGAATCGATCATGTTTCCCCACTGTATACAGTTTCCCTTAGAAATCCATTCTAGCTAAGCTTTGCACCATCTAAAAGTGCAACTACAGAAACTTATGTATTTTGAAATAAATTTTCCAAATTCAAGTCCCGAAAAAATCCTTAGTGACCGCAATGCCGCATTCACCTGCAATAGATTCAAAAAATTTCTTAGAAATTATAATGTAAAACAACTTCTAACTACTGCCCATCACCCCCAGACAAATGGTAAAGTAGAGCGTGTGAACCAAACCCTAGTAACCCGTTTAAGATGTAAAGTAAATTCTACATCATCGAAAATTCCATGGACGAAAATTTTGGATCAAGTTATTAGTGAATATAATAATTCCCCTCATTCGGTAACTAAATTCACCCCTGCATATCTTTTACTCGGAAAACTTCCTTTCGATTCTCCCTAGATCAAAATACTTACCCTCCGGTTGACATAGCGAGAAAATTAGCTAAAGAGAGAACTATTGAATATCATAAAAGGAATAAAAGTCGTTATGACACAAAATTTGCAGATGTAGAATTTTCAACCTGGTGATCTAGTTTTATTTGATGAATTTGAATTTCCGAATACACGTAAATTGACAGCTCCCTATTCTGGACCATACCAAATTGTCAAAAAAATTATCTGAGGTTAATTATGAAATTGATAAAAAGAATTACCACACAAAGAAACCTACTGATATTGTCCATGTTTCCAGACTACGACACTACCAAGACCCAGAAAATTTTAAAACTACATCACCAATAGGTAGACACACCTTCCTTTGGTAAACGCTCAACTGGGGTTGCTACTAAAGGTAATTAGAGCACCTCTAATTATTTAATGTCTAATTTTCTGTGTTGTAAATTTTTGGTGTGTTGTTTTGTATCTTTGTATTTATTTTGTATTTATGTGTTAATTTTTTAGCAACGACATTTATGGTAATTATAAAATACTATTGAAGTTGAAAGTTGTGTTGAACGACAATGCAGTATATGACATAATTGTCATTGTCGATAGTAAAAGGTAAAATACGAGTAAAATTATTGTGTAAAATGATTATTATCAAAATAAGTGTTTTATATGAATAAGTAGTCAAAATGAAATACTGTAAACAAACTAAAAGTCAAAAGGAAATGTTAAGAAATTAGTCAAGTATTGCAATTGTCAATGATATGAAGAAAATAATAGAGGAATACCTCACCTCAAAAAAAAAATTTTTAATATTAAAGCCACGGCGAACTGGAAAATGAAAGATTTGTAAAATACGAACTGCTCTAATGTTTTGCAGCAATCTCTAAAGACCTGGATCCAGAACTGAAACTGTTCTCGAGAAATGTTTTCCCAATACTGCATGCATAATGTTATTTTTCTTTATTTTCTATAAATGTCAATATATTAAGGTATATTATTTACAATTTTATATATTGATATTATTATTGACTGTGTTATAGTGAGTGTCTATTTAAGATTAATATTATTGTAACTCGAATTCTGGATGCGAGTTCTTCAAATTAAGCAATTATTTAAAAATAATTTTCTAGCTGTTGTCGCGCTTTTTCACTATCTGGAATGTCTTGTGGTCGAGGCGCCCGTCTTCAAGCCTTTTCAGATGGGGGGAATATTTTGTAATAATAAAATTCCATAGTCAAAAATACACTTAAAATTCTAACTGTATGTTCTTTTCATTTTAATGGCAACGGTCTCTTATTTGAAAGTACGTGAAATTAAATCCAAAGAATATGTATTGTTAAGAAGGAAAGCTTCGCAGCAGCAGGAGTGGCTCCCTCCTAAAGAAAAGGGATACAATTGCGCATGCGTGAAATATCTGTCGCCAAAAAGCGGCAAAGCTCGAAGCTGATGTCGAAGTGCGAACAGGTTCGACGATCACGTTTATCAAGAGTTTAAAGCTGTGTTACTCCATTTTTTTCCTACAGATTGACAGATATAAAATCAGACATCAAACTGCGATATGAATAATACAAGTTCAACTAGTAGAGCAAAAAAGCACGAAAATTCGAGTTTAAATTATCGCGAAAAATCAAAGAAAGATTCATCTTAACCCGTATTCCTCAATTTTCTGTACACGTGGCGGAGGTGGAAAATCTCGGCCAGGTACATCACAGAGGGGGGAAATTCTCGCCAACAGGTTCCGTCGCCAAATCCCTTGGCGAATTGTCCCTCTTCTTTCTAGCGGCGTAGAAGACAAACTGGTTTGCATTACGTCTACGGAGCCTTTCCTTCTTTTCATAGACTTTTTTTTATTAAATCCACAGCCCCGTAGTCAAGTTGTTTTTCCCGCCTTTTCTACGCGTACAGTTATAGAATGTTCTCGAGATATTTAAAGCGAAGTGGAATGGCTGACGTCATTTATTGGAAGCTCCGCCTTTCCAGAGGCTATAAAAGGACTCGCGAAGGAATATCGGGGTCTTTTCTTTAATGTAACGATGCAGTAAACTTCATACAAAAAGTTATTAGTAGTTTTTTATTTACTCCGGAGATATGATTTTTTGTAACTGCTATTTCTCCTGAATAATAATAAATGGATACTGTCTTTTAAATTTATCATCTGATACTGTGAGCTTCGACTACATCTATGATTCTTCACCAAACTTTTTTTTTTTTTTTTCTGACAAAAGCTGGTACATCACATATATATATAGTTTTAGTCAGTTTTCCTTTTAAATTCTATATTTAAAGTATCCTTTATGCAATATGGCTTCTTGTGCTGTAGCAACGTGCCGTAACACTTATAGAAATACGAAAGGAAGAGATATTGTATTTTATGCTTTCCCAAAGGACAATTTGCTTTTGTCGAAATAATGGATACATAAATGTCGAAGACAGGATTCTATTAATGTGAAAAACGAAAGAATTTGCGGCGAACATTTTCTGTGCAGTGATTACGAAGATGACATGAGAAATCACTTATTTGGATTGCCGCGAAAGAAACTGTTGAAATGCAATACTGTGCCGAAAGTAAAGTTATCTTGTGCAGTAAACAAAATAACACCAAGAAATCGGAGGCATTTGAAAAGAAAACTAATGCAGAGTGCTTTTGAAAGACGAATTAAGCCGAAAGAAAATTCATCTTGAGTCCGAAAACGAAATTGAAGCTGACAATAATAAATCAAATGTGGATGATTTTGAAATAAAACTCTACAAGTGGCAATGCGCTATGTGAATATCCCTGAACGACCTAAGTGTAAAGATAAACAAGAATGTATTGATAATTTGAAGAACAAAATAATATCCTTAGAAAATTGTAATAAAATATTGAAAAATAGAGAAAAGTAAATTTTAGAATGTTTGCTCAGCGACAAAGAAGGTGGAACGACATCTAGAAAGAAATTGTGTATCGGAAATTCAGAAATTCAGAAATTAAAATCCCAAACAGCGAAACTTTAGGGAAAAAAATAGCATAAGATCGGAGAATTTGGAAAAACGTCTAAAGCATAGTTTTACAAAGACGCAGATTAACGCATTGCTAGAAAAGAAGGAAAAAATCAGGTGGATTAGTGAAGATATTTCACGTTGCATAGTCATAAGAGCTCTGTAGAATACTTTTCTTAAATAGAAATGCATATGTTTTTTCCCAAAGTAAAGCAATCCAAAAGGCAAAAAAGTAGATTGCTTCGAATGTGGTAGCCAATAAATAACATTTCAACAACTTGTAGTTGCACTGTGACTGTACAAGTAAGCATATATAATATGTTTTGATTTCAAATATTTCTAGATGACATTTTAGAAGTTAATAGCGCAAAGTATATTTCAAATGAGAACTAATTTTGTTAAGTTATTGTTAAAGTTATTTTTATTGTATCCTGTGTTATTATTGATTCGATTTTGTGCTAGCTTAGCATTCTAGATAAAATATAATAGTATAACTTTAAAGCAATTGGCATAAGAAAAACCTGCCTCCTTAACCCATACTTTTGAAAAATTAAATAATTTACTGTGAGTAAAATTGTTTTGTCTAAATTAAGATAACAATCTTAATGCATTTATTTGAATGTAATATTGATGTAAGCCTAAGTTACAAAATTATTAAAAAATATATATGTTATTATATTGAATCGGGAGAAAAATATGCCAAGGTAAAATTTACAATTAGGCTGAAACTCAAACTTAGATTAGCAGAAATTTTGAAAACTATGCCAATTTAAGGTTGTTTTCTGATTAATTTGAAATAGCTGTTATTATAGTTATCTTAAAAGCAGTAGTAGAATTCTCTTAGTTTACATGCAGATAAAGAAATGATTAGAAATAAACAGGCACTTAAAGAAAAATAAACCCTGCAAATTAAAAAAAAGGAACTTATTTCTAAGAGTAGCGCATTTTATCTGTTATTTTAAAGTTGAGTAAGTACTATTAAATTTTTTAATGTTCAGTGTAAAATGCATGCTGCAGTAACATTGTATCTTCTAAATTATAGCTATCTTTCACACACAGTTCATTTTGAACGCTGGTTCTTCAGATTTAAAAAGCTAATTTCTATGTTGTCAGTTGCATCTCCGCGCTCAGTGTCATCATGGCTACGTCATCACTCCCACTGCCTGTTTCACGGGGAAAAGATCTATGAGCTAGCCCTTCTCTTTTAAGTCCTGGTGACAATCACTGGATGGATGTAATGCTTTAATCCTTTAGTTGCATCTCTAGTTCATTATCTATGCGGCGAGCATATAATTTAAGAGCAAATGTGTTTGCAGTTTGCCGGTTGTTAAAAACATGTGCTGTTGTTGATATGTTCCGTAATTGGAATTTAAAGACGGATTCTGAAACAATCATATCGGCTGTTATTTATTTTTGTGTTATGCGTTTAAAGGGTTATTAAAGGCTGAATACGTTGCTGTTGTGTTGAAATATTCTGATAGCAATAAACTTCAAATTTTCGACATCAAAAGCATCCGCTGTAAGTATGTTTACACTGGATTTTATGTGTATATTTGTTTTCGTGATAAGGAAGCGCTAAAGTAGATATGATTGTAACGCTCTTTCCCCCCCCCCCTCGTTGAAGAATTTCTGTCATCATTTCAAAGAATAATTTCTATGATCATTTTTTTAATGTGAAACATTCCATGGTACTGAACAGTTCGATTAACATAAATAATCATGCTTCCAGTATGTCTGATGTTTGTATGATTATTTTATTAATTATATTTTTTTAGACTAATCGCAATTCTATCATTTATATACTTGTATGGAAATTTAAAGTATATATTTAAGGGAATTGCTCTAATATTATATTCTTTAATTTGCGTAATTGTTAAATTTAGTTACGATGTTTATTATTTGAAATACGTTTTATTACTTTTGAAAGTTCTAGAATTTATTCTTAATCTTTCTGTTTCAAATTAATAGCTTTCTTAAATAGTATCTTGTATTAACAAAACACATTGCATAACTATGAAAAACTTCAAATGTAAAGTGAATGTGAATTTAAAAATAAAAAAAGAGTAAATAGTTTAGTCTTCAGAAATGTACAATAGATATTTGTCAGGATAATGTTTTCTGTTTAAAAATGGGTTTCAAAACTAATGTAAATTAATTAGGTATATAATTGAAAAAACTAATTACAAAGGTAAATAAGTGAAACATACTAATTACAAAGGCAAGTAAGTAAAAGGTAAATAAGTAATACTAAGATAAATAAGTGAATTTTAGCTAATTTTAATTAACAAATCCTCCAGGAAGTCATCCTTCATTTTTAGCAGGTGGCCCTCACCTGCATTGCCACATCCAAGTAACCTAAATAAATAGTCATGGTCAATTAATTAAAATTTAATTGACTGTAAAATATTTTATATGCTTACATTTTTATCCTTGATGTAGTTCGTTATATTTCTAACTGCTTTTTAATATCAATTTAACTATTTATTTTATCAAGATACAGGTGTCTTCTTTTGATTGAAGAATAAACGCAATGAAGATAAAATGATGAAATGTAATGAAAAAATAATGAAATGATAAAATTATGGAATATACTGATTGAAGAACAAATGTAATGATGAAGAAATGAGTTTTGATTGAATAATAAATGTATTGATAGCTGAAAAATTATTAGAAAAAATTCACAGCATATTAAAGTTTACACTTTATTACAGTCTATATTAAATTTCCAGCATAGTACCTTTCTTGCAATTTGCATATAATTGTCTGATTTTTTAATATTTATTTCTTTCATTTTTTTATTTCTTGTCACTGCAATGTGAAAATTTTAAGATTAATAATTAAATTTTTTGTTTTTTAATTAGAGACAATTCTAATATGTCAAAATATTTAAAAGTAGATTAAATAATAATGATAAAGTAAAAACATTTAAAACTTGAATTGTTTTAGAGTTAAAAAAGGCACTGAATGACATTTTCTGTATAGTTATGACTTTGTATAAATTTTTTACACACATTTAATTTTAATTTTCACATTCAAATTTCAGTCATTTTTTAATTACTAACCATAAATGTCAAATTCCTAGCATAAATAAGGATTATTATTTCTAGTTTTCATTGGATATAAATTAAATATTCAAATTTGCATTCAACATTTTGAGCTCATTAATTACATATTAGTTTATGGTTTAAACAGAAATATAAACTTAACGTATACAGATTTTATTGACATAGTGAAAGATCTTTGCCAAGAATAGATAATGCCTTTTCGCTATCATTTTGAATTTTGTAATTTTCTTATTGCTTCATTATTTTAAGGCTTGAAATCTGTATATTCATGCATATGAGTTAAGGATTTCGGCATGCTTTATTATTGAATTACATTTTTCAAAAGGTATTTTAACTAAATCTTTCATTGAAAATTTCTGGAACAGTAATAAGACTTGCTGAAGATCGTAACATAGAAGTAACAATAATAATATTCTTTTTCAATGGATGATAAATATTTTATTTTGGAAGTTAAGACTTAATCTATATTAAAAGAGAGTTCTGGTAGAAGTATTTGCTCTTAATGTGTTTTAAAGAGTTTGTTGTGATTACTGAAATCTGTCGCATTATATTAGTGCTAGCATTAACATGTTCTAAATAATTTGATGTGACTACTGAAAATTTTCAGATTATAATATATAAATTTTATGTTATTTACTGAAATATTGATTATGTTATCTCCTAATATAAATTCAGTAGAAGTATCAAAAAAGAGTGAACCCATATGTAGGAAGTTTAATTCCCAAAATTGTGTTTTAAAGTAACTTGAATGTAAATTATTAAAAATGTTTTAAGGGGACTTGAATTAAATCATGAATAACAAAATTTCAAACTTTGAAAAGTCGGGGGATATTTACTCAAGTATTTTATAAATTTTACTACGTAAATTGCTTTTCACGCAAAATTTGTATTAACGAGGATGCTTAATTCAGAATGAGTTCTTTGGTACTCTACTTTGGTTCTAAATCCCATCACTTCACGGAACTATTTGACCTAACTTAATTTGCCAGTTTGGCATCAGCATTCTTACTTGCGTAATACATGAAACACCTTCGTATTTATTAATTATTGTTCATTGAACGGGAATTGGTTTGTTCCCCTTGAAAAGTCAACTAATTTCCCATCAATAGCAATAATTACTTGCTTTTAATTTAATTTCTTTTTCAAAGTTTGAAATTTTGTTATTCATCATTTAATTCAACTCCCCTGAAAAGATTTTTAATAATTTGCATTCAAGTTACTTTTAAACACAATCTTAGGAATTAAACTTCCTACATATGAGTTCACTCTTTTTTGACTTCTACTTTAATTTAGGAGAATTTTTTTGATACTTCTACTGAATTCTATAATATAATATAATCAAGTTCTTTAAAAAAAATATCTTACTTGCCAGCTATTGCCACAAGTATTAGAAAAACTTGTTTTCGAACTAAGTGAATTTAAGATCATACAACATAAATTTTATGTTATATATATATAGTGCAGGCAGCCTGCAAATTCCAGCAAGCATAGAGGGATTATTTTCTTTTCAGCGACACTGGTCATAAAACTGGTTTCTTAAAACTTGAATTATTTGTTTCTCATTTTTACCATTTGGGAATTTTTCCAGATAGAATAGATTTTGTGTAATGAATGAGACAGCGCCCTTTGTGTAATGCATGAGACCCCCTAATAGATGCCACTGAATTAAAGAAAAAAAAAAAAAAAAAAAAAGGTTTGATCCAGCCAATTGTGAGAATAAATGCCATATGTAAATGCTATGTGTATTTTGTTGTGTGCAAGGAAAAACTTCAAGTTTAGTTATTTTAAAAATTCATTTCAAGTGAAAAAAACTTAGAAACCAGTTTTAATAGTTTTAAAACAATAAAAATAATTTTGGTTGGCTATTAGAAAAAGTCATTAATTATAATTTAAATAATGGGCATTTCATGTATAAGAACATTTTCTGCCAGCATTATCATTGCTAATTTATAAATAATGGCAGGGGGAAAGGAGCTTCTTATTCATTATTATTATAATACTTTTTTTCAACCCAGGATGTTACTGTATTTTAAAGATAGTAAAGGAAAAGAATGCTCACTTTTGTCTACAAATTATATGTTTTGATGATATTCTGTATTCAAAATGTGTCATAGCTTTATAGCAGTCTTTTGAAGTTTTCTATGCTTGAATGTTTTAGGAAAAGCTTGGGAATATGTCTTCAGATATTGTCTTATGTAGGTTAATAATTCTTGGAACCAATGATGGCAGAAAAATTGTGTCAAATATGTAATATGAAAAATAGTTTTACTGTTTAATATGCTCCTGCTAAAAACAGGTATTTTTATTCCCTTTGTCTAAAAGAAGTTACTTAACTCTTTGGATCTAGGTATTTTTATTCCCTTTATCTAAAAGAAGTTACTTAACTCTTTGGTTCTGTACATAAACAGCTGTAATTAAATAGTATTTATTTACTAAATTAGTAGAATTACTTTTTTCACTCTGTTTTTAGAACCTTCCATTCATTAGGATGTTATTTAGTTTGTTGAAAAGAAATGAGGGAAAAAATATTTTAAATAATGCAGTAATATGTGTTATGTGACAACAAATCTCATGACACCAGGTAAAAGAGATCATGCACCTCAGAGGTTTGATTGGAAATTTAGGTATATTCCTAGGTACAAAGGCAAACGTAATATTCAAATAGTGATATATCTTTTTTATTTTTTGATTTATATGCACAGCCTATATTTAAAATGTGATTTAAAAAATTACAGGGTTTGATGTGATTTTCCTTTGAAAGAAGAAAATTGAAATTAATTTGATCTTTTGAACCATTTGTATTTTTGTTCAAGTTCACTATAGTAATTTATTTTATGGTTTTTATGTCTTTACTTATTAATAAAGAAACAAGGTTCTTATATTTATGGTACTTGCATATTCAAGCAGTCACCTTGTGCAGTTGTCTGTGTAGATGAAAAGGTAAAAGTTATTTATCTTGTGTAAGTCAAGATATGGTTTTCATGAATTTTTTTTTAGAAAGATACCTAAACTATCAATATTTATCATAAGCCAGCAGACATTGTCAATATGAAAAGAAAACATACTTTAGCAATTTGAAATGCAAATTTTAATTATTAAATAAGGATTACAAGATGCAGTGAAGTTTACATGATTACAAGTCAAACAATTGCATTCTTCACAAAATCTTTCTCAAATTTTGTATGCTGATTTATTCCTCAATTACATAGCAGTCTGTTTTTGCTTAAAAAAAAATAGAGTATTGCAGACACTTAGGAACACTGGCTATATATCAAACATAACAACTAACTCTTCATTGTTCCAGTTAGAAATTTTGTGGTAAAAATCTGTATTCCTGCAGAAATTTTGCTGCAGTTTCTTACACTGCCAACAAATTTCACAAGCACATGTTTAAAAACTGAGTATAAGGCAGAAAAATATCACAATTTGCTTATAAAAATTATTTGAAGATAGG